TTCGTTGGGAGTTGTTTGTCCTGTAGCTTCCGTGGTTTTCTGGGGTGGAAGTTTTTTGTGCAGGTTGAGAACGTGGAAAAAATGGGGATCTGAGCTGGGATCTCTCCCAGCGTCCCTAGGGATGCATGAACTCCTCGTTATGAGGCAGGACAGCACTTGGCACGGGGAGTTATAGCCGTGACTATATATAGTGACTTCAGATTGAATGGAGTTGTGCCCACGGATCTCGTTAAATTCCCTGGGGTGTGGGTGGGTTTTTAAAAGCTGCTGCCAATGTATCCGTGGTCAGTCCTTGTCACTGCTGGGATTCAGGAGTCTGTACCTGCTCACCCTCCTCACTACTGCTTTCCAGGCCCTTCTGGCTGAAATTCCTTCCTGGGTGGGGGGTGTTCAGTGCCCAGTGCCTGCCTTTTCCCTGTCAGTTCAGCTGTTGGATTTGACTTTCCCAGTTCCTGCTGCGTCTTGTCTTCCAACACCCATTCCTGTCACTTTTGCTGACTTCAGGAGTGTGTGTGGAGGAGACAAGTGTTCTGGAAACTGTTCCCTTCATTTCAGTTAAGGACAAGAAAAGGCTTTAAGGAGCCCGGTCTCCTTTCCCAGTGCTGTGTCAGATCTTGCCCTCATTGCCAGGGCTGTGTCCCTACACGTTGGGGTGGAGGAAGCTCCACCTGAGCCAGCGAGTTGCGAGGCCGCTGCTGCTTGAGATCAGCATCAAAAAACCCGGAATGTCACTGTGGGAAGCACTGACAGCTTCTCCCGGGAGGATTCCGACAGCCCCTGTGCTGTGGGAGCACTCGCCTGGCTGTGAAGCTCCAAGCAGCTCCTGGTGATGGAGATGAGATCTGTGGATCCGTGACAGCTCCAGAGGTTTTTCCAAGATATCTGGAAGTACCTTTTGCTACCCGACCTTTCTCATGTGCTGGCTGCTTCCCTGACACAGGTAATTTGGGATGGGGTGGGTGGAAATGCCCTTTGTGCAGGGAGGGGGGCAGTTGGGTGCCCGTGGGACGCTTTTAATGTGACTTCCAGCCTTTGGGTGTTTTCCTACCAGGAATTCACCTTGGCTTTGCTGGGAGAGGTGACCGGGTGCCTGCCCTGTGCTGCGCTGCAGCAGGTAAAGGCTCCAGAGGGAATATCCCTTCCCACTGGAGGGAATGCTGCCTTCAGGACAGATTTCCAGGTCATTCCCTGCGGACACCCACGTGGATGAAGCAAACCCGAGGAGCCGTTGTGCTGAATGCAAAAGTGAATTTTAATGAACAGGCCTGGGGGGTTCCATCCCAGAGAGGGTCCGTCCCGGGGGCTCTTCCCTCAGGATTCTCTCTGCAGGGAACAGGCTGCTCCTGCCACTCCTCACTCTGGCCTGGCCTTGTAGTGGTCTATGTGGGCCAGGACCCAGGCTGTGGGCAGCAGGAACGAGACGAACATCGCAGCCAAGGCAATGCCTTGCTCCTGAGGGGGAGAAGGAACAGGAATCAGTGGGATGGCTGGGCCACGGGATGTGGGGGGGGGGGCTCCTGGGATGGCTGTGCCATGGTGTGGGGGCTCCTGGGATGGTTGTTCCATGATTTGTGGGGCTCCTGGGGTGGCTGCGCTGGTGCCGTCCAACACCACGGACCCAACTCACTTCTCTGTGCTCTTCCCAGCCCCGGGGCTGTGGGATGGACCCGCCGTGGGGCTGTGGAGGGAGCTTGGGGAAGCACAGCCATTCACACTGGCAGCAGATGGACCTGGTGCTCTCCAGGCTCGCTTTTTCCATCTCCCCACGTTTCTCTGCTGGGATATTCACTGGCAAACTGGAGCAGTGCGTGACCTTGAGGCTCTGGCCAGGGCCCTCAGCGTTTCCAGAGGCATCTGTGCCTGACTTTCAGGTGACTTTGGAAATTGCAGCCAGCAGCAGCCCCTCCTTTCTCTGCTGCACCAGGGCAGCATCAACCCCCTGCACTGGCACCTTCCTTTCACTTATTTGACTGGAAAAAACATGTCCAGGCTCATGCAGACCTTGGAAAGGCAGCAGGGGGAAAACTGCCCAGGCAAGGGGTGGAGGGGGAACCAGCCAGGATTTTGGTGAAAAGCTCCTTTTTCCCTGCCTTGTTTCACCCTGCCCAGAGGGATCTGGATTGGGGGGACCATCCCCAGAGGGGGGAGTGTTAGAGGGACCTACAGGCTCTGCGGTGACAGCAGCCCCTGTCCTTGTCCATGGGGACACTGGCTTTGGGCTGAGTGTCCCAGGATGGAGGGACTGGGCCCATGTCTGCCCCTGAGGGACCACCAGTGTCCTGCTGTCCCTTGGCTTCACCTCCCTGAGGGACACCCTGGGCTGGGGTATTTAAACCCCAAAGGTTTAAAAAGGGACTTGAAAGGATAAAATCCAACAGGAGCCTGAGGGTGAGGGGGCACAGGGCATGGACCCCTGTGGGAGTGTGGGCTGGACCTTGGGGGCACCTTCCTCCTCTGCCTCCCTCTCCCCTTTTGCCTCCGCCCCCATCAAAAATAATTTATCCCTAGCACGGGGGGTTTGGGCCCTTCCAACAGGGGTGTCCCCCTCTTTTTTTAGCCCCCCCCCAGGTACTCACGGCAGCAGAGAGCGGGTGCTCAGGGGGGTGGGACCTGAGCTGGGCACGGGGGGTGCGAGGGGTCCGCAGGGCGGCCGCCAGGAGCTGGGAGCCCCTCTGGAAGACCCTCATGGCGCCGTCAGGGCGATCCCGCTGCTCCTGGGGCTCTGCAGCTGCCCAGCTTGTCACTGTCACTGCTGCCACCCCCCCCATCCCTCCCCCGCCACCTCTTGGCACGGGACCTGCTGCGGCTCCGAGGGCACGGGGCGGAACACCCTGAGGTGGAAAGATTTTCCCGAATTGTTCTCTGCCGAATTTTTCTTCCCTTAATTGTTTTCAGGGTTTTTTTCCCTCAGCAGCACCCAACTGCCCAAGGCTCTGAGGCCAAAAACTGTCCCCAGCCGGCACAGGGGGACACTGCACTGCTCTGCTGGAGAGCAGAGGCCTCCCCTTCCCTTGGAGCAGACCTTTTTCCATGAGCAGAATTCTTTTTTCCCTCGAGCAGAACTCCTTTTCCCTCGAGCAGAACTCCTTTTCCCTTGAGCAGAACTCCTTTTCCCTTGGAGCAGAACTCCTTTTCCCTTGGAGCAGAACTCCTTTTCCCTGAGCAGAACTCCTTTTCCCTTGGAGCAGAACTCCTTTTCCCTGAGCAGAACTCCTTTTCCCTTAGAGCAGAACTCCTTTTCCCTGAGCAGAACTCCCTTTCCCTTGGAGCAGAACTCCCTTTCCCTTGGAGCAGAACTCCTTTTCCCTTGAGCAGAACTCCTTCTCCCTTGAGCAGAACTCCTTTTCCCTCGAGCAGAACTCCTTTTCCCATGGAGGGGCTTGGAATGAGATGGCCTTTAAGGTCCCTTCCAACCCAAACCATTCTGAGATCCTGTGTCTGTGGATCCTTCTGCTGTGGCTCCTGAGCATGGGGCAGCTCAGCCAGGGAATGACGGAGGTTTTCTAGTCCCCTCTTTGGGAATAACTCAGTGAAATGCTGCTCCAGCTGAGGGGGGTGTCAGGGACTTGGGGAATGGAGCTGGATGCCAGCAGCACCCCTGGGTGTGGGAAGCCGGGGTGGGGGCTCACTGGGACAGGGCTGTGCCTGGAAAAGCCACGATGGGATAGAGGGCTGGCAGGAGGGAAGCTGGGAAAAGCATGCCAGAGCCAAAGTCCAGGTGTGTTCCCCCCGAAAACAGGCGAGCAGAAGGGTCAGAGCGTGGCTGGGGACGTGGGATGGTCATGGTGTGTGGCTCTGGCTGGGGTGTGTGTGTGTGCTGCTCCCCCCGGCTCTCCACTGCGGTTCTCAGGCAGCTTTTGGATCATGAATCGTCCGAGTTGGTTTTTCTCTTTCAGTTCCTCCTTCTCAGGGCAGGGGGCAGAGCCTGGACCTCTGCCCCTTTCCTGCCGCGGGCACTCAGCTGAGCTTGGCAAACACCTGCGTGCGCTGATTTTTCTAACTTTTTTTTTTTTTTTAAGGGATAAAAAAGCGATTTCCTTCCTTCTCTCTCGGTCAGGCAACTTCCGTCCTTCCCTGGGACAGCCTCTCCCCGCCTGCAGGGCCAGGGCTCGGCTCAGCCCCGGACCGAAGGCAAGACCCACCTCCTCGCTTCTGCACCCTTGGGCTTGGGCTGGGGTGGGGTTTTTAACTTTCCCGAAGGCAGGATTTTCCTCCCGGTTCAGTCTATGTGAGGAAACCGAGCTGAGCCTGAAAGCTGCCGCATCTGGCTGCTGTCAGGGAGGGATTTTGGGGCCTTCCCTGACCCCGTGTTACCCCGGCTGGATTCCCAGCTCTGCCCAGAGTCTCTCAGAGCCTCGTTTCATCATTCCTGTGTTATTCCAGTGCCCAGCATTGCCAGGAGCCAGCTGCAGCTCCCTTTTGTCAGGTGCTGTTTGCACGTTTCTGTATCTGTAGGTACCTTTAGTCTTTAATTATATATATATATTTATACGCGAAACAAATATGTTTGTAAATCTACCAGTGAAATAGAAAGCTCCTGCCCCAGGAAGCTGAGCTGGAGATGCAGGAGTGAGGGGGGAACAGGGAGGTGCATCGAGCTGGGAAAGGGGGAAGCTCAGGAGACACAGAGTGTTTCGAAGTGTCACGGAACAACACTCAGGAGGAAGAGGAGGCCAGAAGAGGAAGGTGGTTGTGTGTGTTGGGAGAAACTGGTGCAATCCCATCACAGAGAGGGCAGCCGAAGAGGAAGAGGGGAAAGGTTGAGAAGTGATGAAGCCTGTGGGGTTTGGGGGAGCTGCGGGAGACGCTGGGACGGGGTGACGGGGTGGAGAGGGAGCTGGGATGGAGCACCCCTCTGGGGGTGACCAGAGGGGACTCTAAAAGGGCTGGAGATGGTGACAGGCGAGCAGCACCTCTGCGACAGCCGGGGCGTCCCGGGGACGTGCCGGGGAGCGGAGCAGCAGCTCGTCCCCTCACCCCCCGTCCCGGCCGTGCCGCTCCGCAGGTGGGGGCGGCAGCGATGGCCGAGGGGGACCCCGCGGTGTTCACGGCCCGGGCGCTGCCCGCGGACCCGCGGCTGCTGCCCACGGTGACCAACGCGTACCTGGGCACCCGCGCCTTCCGCGACATCCTGCACGTGGGCGGCGTGTACAGCGGGGCCGCGGGGGACACGCACCGCGCCGATGTCCCCAGCCCCCTCGGCGTGCGGGTGGCGGTGCCCGGCACGGACAGCCCCGCCGAGAGCTTCGCCCTGAACACCCGGACAGGTGAGCTGGGAGCGGGGAGGGACCTCCCCATCCCAAATCTGACACGCCTTCCCCTCAGGTTCCTTCCCCGCCCTCTCCCGGAGGTTAAATTCTCGCTTCCGTACAGTCACCTCTTCTCGTTCTCTGTTCACCTCAGGGTGTTGTCCTTCTGAAGCAACTGGAAAAATTCCCCTTTCATATAATAAGTTTCACTCATGAGCCCCCTTTCATGTGTAAGTAATATAACAATAAAATAAGCAGTTTTCAGGCTGTAGCTCAATCCCTGCTGGATTAGCAGGTTTAGCAAATCATGAAGCCTGATAAAATGTTTACTGGCACAAACCGTCCCTCAGCAGCTCGGCCAGGGGCAGTGTCAGCAGCGCTGTCTGGTCAACAGCTGGATCTGGACCTGGGGAAGGCCAGCAGGAACCAGTAGATAGGGGAGGGGTAGGAATCTGGGACAGAACACCGGGACCTGCGGGTGCCAAAGGCTCTCGCTGTGCTTACAGGGACCTTCAGCCACACAATTCAGTGCCCTGGTTACGTGGCCACCCAGCAGCTCTACGCCCACCACTCCCTGGTCCACCTGATGGCCTTCAGCGTCACCATCCGGCGCTTGGATCGCTCCACACAGCCCGTCACCATCCAGCTCCAGACCCCGTTCGTGCCACAGAGCCAGGACCTGGACCTGCTCCCAGGGCCGGACTTCCAGGGAGCACAGTGAGTGTGGGGGATGGGGGTCCCTGCCCTGAGCCCACCCTCTGTGGGCTGTGGCCCACTGCCCACTCTGCTCTGGGCACTAAACTGCGGATGTGAGGCTGGAGCTGGGCTGGAATGGTGGGTGGTGTGGAGGCTTCTGCACACCTGCTTTTTCCTGGCAGGTGTATGAAACTTCCCCTCAAATTAAGCAAAGAAACATTTTTATTAGTTGCAGCTCCAGAATTATCCCTTACCCTGGTGTGTAAGAGCAACAAAAGGCCCCAGGGGTCAGATGTGATTCCAAAGAAGTGAGACTGGGCAAGATGGGGAGTTTGGAAGAGATGACCTTTAGAACTAGATTCCTGGGACTGGGGACCGTTTGCTGGGGCTTCGCACTGAAAGAGGGCAGGGTTAGATGGGATATTGGGAAGAAATCCTTCCCTGGGAGGGTGGGGAGGCCCTGGCACAGGTTGCCCAGAGAAGCTGTGGCTGCCTCATCCCTGGAAGCGTCCAAGGCCAGGTTGGACGGGGCTTGGAGCAACCTGGGCTAGTGAAAGGTGTCCCTGCCCATGGCAGGGGGTGGGACTGAGTGGGCTTTAAGGTCCCTTCCAAGCCAAACCATTCTGGGATTCTCTGACGAATCTCAGTATCCTGCACGTTGGGGATGGCACAGCAGCGGAGCTGAAGCGTGGGGATGAGGCAGTTTCCATCTGGGAATGGGAGCCTGGCACCTTGGAGTCCCCTCTGGGTGCTGGATGTGCACGGGGTCCCCCCTGCCCCACGCTCCCCGCCCCATCCCTCCCTGTCTCCCACAGCTACGTCCACGGGCGGACGCTGGTCCCCGAGGTGGAGGGGGGGCCCCGTCCCACCGTTCACATGCTCTGGACCCCCGTCCCGCCCTCCCTGACGCTGGGTGGGGAGGAGCAGGAGCGCTCCTGGGAGTTCCTGACGGCCGTGGCCGAGGGCGAGGAGGAGGCCAAGCGGAGCTACGGCGAGGGGCTGTCCCTGATGGCCGCGGGGGCCCTGCTCCGCTCCCACACCCGCGCCTGGGCCGCGCTGCGCCGGCGCTGCTCCGTGGAGCTGGACGGGCCCCTGGCCCTGCAGCAGGCCCTGCACGGCTGCCTCTACTACCTGCTGAGTGCCCTCCCGCCCCGGGGCAGCCCGGGATTCCTCTTCCATGGCATCAGCCCTGGCGGCTTGTCCAATGGAACCCGGGGTGAGGACTACTGGGGACACATCTTCTGGGACCAGGTGAGTGGGGGCCGTGCTGGCTGGTAACCTGGGGGCTCGGCACAGTGACTGGGACGGAGAAGATGGCATCATTCCATCGGGATGGGGAAAATTCCATCCTTCTATCAGGATGGAAAAGACTATCCTTTAATAAGGGTGGCGAAGACTGTCCTTCGGTAGGGATGGAGAACACTCCATCCTTCCACTGAAGGGCGAAGCTGGCGGTGCCCCACCAGCCAGTCCCACCGCCTTGCCCCGCAGGACACCTGGATGTTCCCCAACATCCTGCTGCTTTACCCTGAAGCCGCCCGGGCCATCCTGGAGTACCGGATCCGCACGCTGGCGGGGGCCGTGCGCAACGCGCGGGAACAAGGCTACGAGGTGGGACAGGGGCGGCGGGCTGAGGGGACGTCACCGGCCCCTGTCCCCAGGAGGGGAGGCCCTCAAGGTTAGGGTTGTTTTCTGCTGGCAGGGCGCCAAGTTCCCGTGGGAGAGCGCAGCCACCGGCCGCGAGGTGTGCCCCGAGGAGATCTATGGGGCCCAGGAGATCCACGTCACCGGGGACGTCCTGGTGGCCTTCGAGCAGTATTACTGCACCACGCAGGTAAAGGGAGTTTGTACCGCCTGGGCGGCCCAGTGGCAGGGCCCACAGGACACCTGGTGACTGTCACCGTCCCTTCCCAGAGGAATTCTGCTCTGTCTGCTCCTCGGGGTCCCTCCCTCAGCCCTGCCTCATCCGTCCGTGCTCCCGTGGGTGTCTCAGCACCCTGTTGGCTCAATCCAGGCCAGTTTTCTGACTTTTCCTCCTGTTCCCTCCATCTCCTCAGAGCTCCTGTCTGACCTCCTGCTGATTTTGGGTCTGGTGAGGTCTCCCTCATGCCTCTGTTTTTCCCCGGCTTTGGCTCCCCCAGGACCAGAAGCTGTTCCGGGAGGATGGGGGCTGGGAGCTGGTGGAAGCCGTAGCTCAGTACTGGTGCAGCAGGATGGTGTGGAGCAAGGAGGAGCAGCTCTACCACATCAGAGGTACCTGTGCCATGGGCAGGGGGTAGAAAGCAGAGGTTCAGAGCCACTTGGTCTAGTGGAAGGTGTCCCTGCCCATGGCAGGGGTGTGGAACTGGGTGAGTTTTAAGGCCTCTTCCAACCCTGTCTACCCTGGGATTCCGTGACTCAAAGGTTCCCTTGCCCATGAAGTGGGGGGAGATGCCCTCAGGATGAGGTACCTACACCCATCAGCCAAAGCTGTAACCCAGGTTGTTCCTCCTTCACCACCAGTACCACAGATGTTCTTTTATCAAGCATCCCACCGAGACCATGTGGGATCCTGCCAGAGGCTGCACCTCTGGCTGGGCAGGCAGGACGTTCCCCATTCCCCAGCCATGCCCCTGAGGAGGACCCCTGGGCATGCTCAGGTGTGAAGTGTGCCCTCCTGTCCCCCCAGGTGTCATGCCCCCAGACGAGTATCACCACCAGGTCGATAACTCCGCTTACACCAACGCCGTGGCCCGGCGCAGGTAACGTGTGGGATGTCGCCTGCAATCACTGCCTGGCTCTCTGCCTCCTGGAAACACTGTCCAGCTCTCTGCTTCCTGGAAGCACTGCCTGGCTCTCCTCTCTCCCAGTCTGCAGGGACGGGAGGCAGTGGGGCTCCCGAGGGGATGCTTCTTCCGTCTCCTCACACCCCTCTCCCTGTCACCCCTCTGCAGTCAGAGGAAGGAGCAGTTCGGGCCATGGCCACTCCTCAGGTGCCCATGTGAGACTGAGAGGGATCTCCCTTCACGGTGGGGCTTCTCCCTCTGCATTCCATGAGGTGTCTGTGCAATTAGCCAGCTGGAGACACCCACAGCCAGAGGAATGAGCTCCTGGCTCCGTGACAGGAGGTGTTACCCCCTCAATCTCTGACCCCTGTTCTTCCACAGCAGCTTTTTCCGCAGCTTAATCATCTCCTTCTGTCTCTTTTCTCCTCCCACTGTCACCCATCCCTGACATAACACATTGTTTCTCCCTTTTTCCAGCCTAAACTTTGCTGCTGAAGTTGCTCGGGACCTGCTGCTCCCAGTGCCAGAGGAGTGGGAGGACCGTGCCAGGAAAATCAAAGTGCCGTTTGATGCAGAGAGGAAATATCACCCTGAGTACGATGGCTACAGCCCAGGTGAGCAGGGAGGCAGGGGCAGCCCTCGGAGGCAGCCACGGGTCACACTTTTAACCCTGGAAGGAGCAGGACTCCGACTGGTTCAGACTTGGGAATGGTGAAAGAAGAGCTCCTGCCGCTTCCCGGGTGCGGAGAGCCAGGCTTGGGGATGGTTTTCCCACCTCTCTGGGTCATTTCTCATTAGTGGGCTGAAAAAATGAGGAAATTTGGGAGCACAGAGTAGGAAGAGTCTTACTGCAGGTAACAAGGTTGCTATGATCCCCTTGGTGACAGTCAGGTGCATCCATCAGTCTGTTGTTCCCGGCTCATGCCCGCGGTCCAACCGGCCCCTCGGGCCGTCATTCCCAGACAGTGCCCACTGTCTGGCTGGCCCCTCTCCCCCCAGGTGAGCCAGTGAAACAAGCTGACGTGGTCCTGCTCGGCTTCCCTCTGATGCACCCCATGAGCGCCGAGGTCCGGAGGAACGACCTGGAGATGTACGAGCCCGTCACCGACCCGGCCGGGCCAGCCATGACCTGGGTACGCAGAGGGCAGAGCCCAGGGTGGGATTTGCCCTTGGGGGGTTGTTTCCATCCAGGACGGTGACTGCCAGACCCACCAGGCAGGATTCATCAGACCTGCTCCAGAGCCCAGGGGAGGGAGGATGGTGCAGGGCCGGGGTGTGTGCGGGGGATGTTGGCTCTGGGTCAGGATGGTGGCGGTGGAGGTGCTGCTCTGCTGTGCTGTCACCAGCAGCAGTGACAGACCCTTTCCCTCCCTGGCAGAGCATGTTTGCCGTGGGCTGGCTGGAGCTGAAGGAGGTGCAGAGAGCCCAGAGCCAACTGCACAAGTGCTTCAGCAACATCACAGAGCCCTTCAAGGTGAGTGGTGGGGCTGCAAGTCCCTCTGGTTTGTGTCTCACCTGCTCCCAAGTAGGTGACACCCCACTGAGAGACACCCCAGATGTGTGACAGGGACGGTGACAACGGCATTCAAACCCACAGAACTGCCTGAAGTGTCCCAAATCAACTCCTGAGTTGTTTCTTTCTCGTGCCAGTGCAGGTCTGGGTGGAGAACTCGGATGGTTCGGGAGCTGTGAACTTCCTGACAGGGATGGGTGGATTTCTGCAAGCCATCCTCTTCGGCTACACGGGGTTCAGGTGAGACCTGTTGTGTCACATTTAATTCCTGCTTGTCCCTTGAAATGTCCCTGTTTGGTTGGAGCAAGATTGGGAACAGGCGAGAGACTCAGTCTGGGACACGTTTGGGAAGTAAAATGCCATTCCCTAAGCCTGTTCTCTGGCTCAGCTGCAACATCCTCCTGTCTCCTTTGGATGGGGTGAGGAAACACCTTCTACAGCCCCCTCTGTGGCCCCCTGCACACACGTGGCTCTGGGAGCCTCCGTGGAGGGAAGTGCTGAGCAGGCATCGCCTCAGCTTTAAAATATCTCGGGAAAACAGGGAGCTGTTCATGTAATTTCAGAGCTGTGTCTCGTATCTGGTGGTTTCCACCCTGGAGCCATCGCCTCTTAAACCTATTCTTGGTTTAACTGAGGCTGGATCAAGCCTTTTGATTGCCAGTGAAAACTTCCAGCACTAACCACGTGTTTTTACTCCGTGTGTGTGGCCAGAGGTGCTGGGAAACCCACCAGTTCCTTGGTGGAGCTGGGGTTTGAGCTGCCGTGTTCCCAGCTGGAAAACCCACCCATTCCTTGTGGAGCTGGGTGTGAGCTGCAGTATTCCCAGCTGGAAACCTCAGCCTCGGCTTTGGCCGAGCTGGGAGGTCTCCAGGCACCCCGGGTGTGTCGGGTCGGGCCCCTCGTGGGACAGGCACAAGCCACGGGCTTTGGGGCTCTGGCCAAATTTCCAGAGGTTGGGATGACACTGTGCAGCCCTGGGAGCCTTGCTCCTGCCCTTCCCACCATAGGGCACAGATCCTACCTGGCACTGGGGCTCTCCAGGCTCTCGAGCCTCCCTCGAGCCCTCTCCAGTCCCTCTCAGCATGCTGGAGTTGATGGTCAAGAGCTCTCGTGTGCCAAGATCTGGGTCAGAGACAACAGTGACCGTTGTTTTTCCTCACCCAGAGCCAACACCCACACAGGCTGTTTGGCTTTGAATCAGGGCTGGAGGAAGTGTCAGGCTGTTTGCTCCACTATCTCTGGAGAAGGAGCACGAACAGCTGTGCTTCCAGCCCTCCAAACCGCGGGAGTGGGAGCCGAGGTGGGTGTCTGGAACTGAGCTGCCCCAGAAGAAAAGAATAATACATTTTTCTCCTTTTTTTTTTTTTTTTTTAATTAAAAAAGGTATAAAATCCAACCTTAAGGAAACCCCAGTCCCAAGCTGTGGAACTGGAGGGGGACAGGAATGTCTTTGGGTGCTGGGCTGTGAAATTATGGCCCCTGTAGCTCCTCAGCAGATGCTCCATCGGTGTGTTCGGGATTTGCCCAGAGATCCTTGGATGCACTGAGGATACTTTCACACTCCTCCGGGGTGCACGAGGTGGAGATGCCTGGAGAGGTGGCCACACCCCAGAGGTTGTTCACCCGTGGCTCCCACTGTTCGTACCCTGACATGCTCCTGCCTTTCCAGGATCTCGAGGTCCGGCCTCCGCTTCGATCCTGCCTTTCCCCACGACATCACCGAGCTGAAGCTCTCTGGCATCTCCTACTTGGGCAACAAACTGGATTTCGCCATCACCGCAGCAGAGATCTGTATGGAAGTGACTGAGACCTCCCAGGACCCTCTGGCATCTCCCCTGGAGGCAGTGCTGGAGTCGGGGCACCGCTTTCCCCTGCGGGAGGGTACGGCAGCAGCACCCGGCTCCGCTCCCCGAGATAAAGAATTTGGGGAGAAACCATTCCCATACCTCACACAAGGGTGTTTTTTGTTGCAGGGCAGAGTGTCTCCTTCCCCATGGCACCCGGCTGGATCCAGAGGTCACCCACCAGGACCCCCTAAACCTTGGCTGGTCCAGGTTTTGCCCGCGGGAGCAGCGGATCTGGGATGTTGGCAAAGGGGGAAGGTAACGGTGGGCAGAGGGGGGGGCCCAGGCTGTGCCATGAGCCCTTGGCCCCCCAGGACTGAGTGTGCCACCTGTCCTTGTGTTCCCGAGGAGGGAGGGCTGTCCACAGAGCTGTGACCATGGCAGGGGGTCAACACGTCTGTTCTGGGGGCACTGAGCCCCAGAATCCCCTTCACGCACCTCCTGCGTCTCTCACTCAGCACAGGAGGCGAAATCAAGCCTGAAAATGACCATTCCAAATGAATTTTCTAAACACTCAGGAGTTGTTTGTGCTCTCTGTATCTGCATTTGTAAGGAAGTCCCTTCCTGAACGCATCTGTGACCCTGGCTCCAGCTCCTCCAGCATGTACTGCCCTGGTCCTTGCCTTCCCCTCACGTTGCTCCATGGGCTCAAAGGGCTGTGGAGCCTCAGCCACTGTTGCTTCACCAGATGAGTGGTGTTTTGGCACTGATACCAGTCCAAAATACACAGCCAAAAGCCTTTTAGCCCCGTGTTGGCAGCGCAGAGCTCCTTTCCTGTTTTCTGGTGTGTAACATCTCTACTGTGTTTCCAAACCCCTTATCTACACTATTCCCGCTCTTGTCAAGCAGCTTTGGAGTTAAATCCTTTCTAACTTGGCGTCTGAAGGGCTGCAGGAAGCCTGGACATCAGTGATCCGTGATATCATCGTGTCAGACGAGTGACATGGGCAGTGTTTTTCCAGGCACGAGCAGCCTCGGGGAGGGCAAAACGCTGCTGTGGGTTTGCTCAGGGCGTTTTCGGTGCCCCAGAAACCCCAAGGAAGGGCTGTGCCCCTACAGGGAGGGGGGCATGGTACCCCCAGCCCTGGGTCTCACAGCATCCTCCCTCTCACCTCCCCGTCGCCCGGGGCTCAGTGCAGGGCAGCCCTGGGGGGAAGGAGGGAGTGCCGGAGGCGTTCCCTGCCCCGTGGGGTCTGTTCTCGCCAAACCAACCCCAGGAATCTTGGCCGGGTTTATATAAAGCCCCGCGGCCGCTCCCTGCCCCGCGGCATCTGGGAATGCTTAGGGGAGGAGCAGGGACTCTCCCGCCGTGTAATTACCCGGCCTCTTGCTCCGGCCTCATCAGAGCCACCAGCCCCTAATTAGCTGCAGCTCTTGGCAGGACAAAAGGACGCACCGTCCCCTCGCTCCGGCACCAGCCCGGAGAGCTGCACCCGGACTGGGATTTGGATGGGGCTGGGATAAAACCCCACACTGAGCCAGGTCTGGTCATGGCACTAAAGGGGGTTTAGCAGCAAAAAAGGGATCCTTTAGTCCCGTGTAGCCGAAATGAGCCATCTCCAGCCCAGGGAGGGACAGCAGGGAGCAGTGGGGCTGCGTCCCACACACACCTCCCCGTCCTGAACGGGGACCTGCTGGGGATGTCTGTGTTGCTGCAGTGAGTTTGCAGGTCTCAGCTCCCCCTGGGAGGGCGACACACCATTAGCTTCAGCGTGTCCCCATGGGGCCAAGGAGCTTCTCTGCTCCCTCCCCTCCTCGGTCACGGGGGTCCTGGTGGCCGGGGGTCCTGGGGGTTGCAGCGTCTCCTGGCTGCAGGGAGCTCAACTGGAGCCAAAAATCCTTGTTTACGTTTTTCCTTTGGCACCCCCCTTGTCGTCCCCCCCCCTCCACAGGCAGAAACTCACGCTGTGTGAAACGTTTAATGATTTAAATAGTGATCACGGAAGCTGGAGGGAGGCTGAGCTCCACACGGGGGGGGGGATAACGGGAGATAAAAAAAAAACAAACCACAAGATAAATGAAAATAACTGCTCTGCCCCCAAAGCGTGGCGGGGAGGGGGGTCAGGCCAGGCAGGGAGGGGTCATAGTAGTGGAGGAGAAGCCCCTGGAGCTGCCCCCCCAAACCGGCCATGCCGTGCCCCGTGGGTGTCAGAGCTGGTGGCCGTGGCCTGGGGTGGCAGAGAGGGGTGGTGGCCCTTTTTTGGGGAGCCACCAGCGGCGCGAAGGAGGTTCCACGAGCCCTTCACCCCGCCCCCATCAGTGGTCCTCGTCGTCCCTCCCGCTGAGCTGGTAAGTGAAGAAGCCGACGGAGTCCTGGGCGAGCTTGGAGAGGTGGATGACGCCGGTGACGACGAGGGCGACGATCAGCAGCGGCAGCACCACGCTGCCCGCCGTGGCCAGGGCGTTGTAGCACCGGGCCTTGGAGCTGAAGTGCCGAGCGGCTTCCACGTCCCCGGACACCTTCCGGTCCCGCGCCTGCAACGGGAGGACAGCCCCCTCCTGCAGCCCCTTCTCTCAGCCCCCTTCCCCTCAACTCCCTTCCCTTCAACCCCCTTCCCACATCTGTCTCCTGCACCCCCTTTCCTCAGCCCCCTTTTCCTCAGCCCCCTTTTCCTCAGCCCTTTTCCTGCAGCCCCCTTCCTGCAGCCCCCTCCTGTGCCTCTCCCAGCCTTGCTCCAGGGCTTTAGCCCCCTTGCAGCCCACAGTTTAGCCATCCATCCATCCATCCATCCATCCATCCATCCATCCATCCATCCATCCATCCATCCATCCATCTGTCCCAGGCTGCCCCTGCTCCATATGCTCCCGTTCCCCTCTGGCCCCACTTCCTTTGCCTCTGGGATTTTCCCTCCTGCTTCTTCCCTCCAGAGCCTCACTGGCACCAGCTCCTTCTTGCCCCCAGGATCTTTCTGTTCTGGTCCAGTCAAGCTGGAGCTGGGATTTTCCCTCCCGCTTCCTCCAGAGCCTCACTGGCTCCAGCTCCTTCTTGCCCCCATCTTTCCACCCTGGTCCAGTCCAGCTGGAGCTGCTCCTGCCAAAGGGCTGGGCCAGGGGCCTGAGGACATCACAGCCCCCACAGCACTTTCTAGGATGAAGCAGCTGGTCCTCGGAGTGTGGGCAGGGGGCTGTGGTTATCCAGGGGGTCCCACAACGTCCCTGATGGGTGGCAGGAACACAGCAGGGAGGATTCACCAGTTGCCAGCGTCCCTTGCTTCTGGCGGGTGTTGGGCTCCCTCCCCCCTATGCCACCCCCCCCAGGAGTTATCCCAGGTGCTCTGTGCCTCCTCGGCAATCCCTCCCTCGGCATCTAGGTGGCGAGGGATTCCCGGAGACCCCCAAACGCTCCAGTCCTGCCGGGTGCCGGTACCTTGACGGCGAAGGCGAGCGCCACGAAGCCCAGGCAGCAGAAATTCATGTAGAGGGTGTTGAAGATGGCCCAGACGAGGTGGTCGCGGGGCGGGGGGGCGGCGGGGGGTGGTCCCCGCTTGCGGGGCGGCTCGTCCTCCCGCGGGTACGAGGTGTCCATGGCCACGGAGAGGGGCACCCGCGGCTCCAGCAGCCTGAGGGGAGGACGGCTGGGCACCTCTTATATAGCCCTGCCCCGCTAAATATAAACCTGGGAAATTACAGCTCTGCGGGATGCGGTTCTCCAACAGGCTGGGAGAAGCGCTGGGATGGCGAGCCTGGGAAAGCTTTTTATAGCCAGCTTTCCCGCCGGGGATGAGGGGCACGGATGGCTCCAGCGTGGGCAGTGCCGTGAGGTGACTCCAACACCATCTGAGGGTCATCCCAAGACAGACCCCCCGGTACCAGGACTCCCGCGGCGCTGGCTGGCACCGGGACCTCCAGCCCCAACCCTCCAGGTGAGCTGGGCAGGGCTGACCCCTCCTTGGCAGCACCTTTGGGCTACGGGATGGATGAAACGGCAGGTTAATAGGGAAAGGTGGAAGAGCCGCATCCACGGGGCTCCCTGGCAGTGGGGGGGAGAGGGTGCTGCGGGGGGGGGGGCAGCCAAAAATCACGGAGGGTCTTTAATTTCCTTCTTTTGCCACACCTGAGATTTTTGGAAAGGAACTTCCTTGGGATCTGGGCTGGAAGCACTCTGTCCTGCGGCGGGATGGAGGCAGGGCGAGGAGGAGGAGGAAGAGGAGGAGGAGAAGAATAAAGAGGAGGAGGGAAGAGAAGGAGGAGGGTCCCACGAAGTCGTGCGAGGACCCTCTACTCTGTCCCGTGGCGAATGAGGTGACAACGAGGGGGTTTGGCAGGCCGAGCTTTATTGGTGGCAGCAGGGACTGGCAGGTGCGTCACAGGTGCCAGGAAGCGCAAGAGCAGAGAAAAGGAGGGGAGGGGGCTGCCCCCCCCGCCCCCCGCCCCATCCCCTCCCGCGGCTGTGCGGGGACACCCGGGGGCAGCAGCGAGGAGACGGGGCTCACTCCCCGAGCCCCGAGCGGGCACATTTGCGGGGCAGGAGGAGGGGGAGAAGCCCCCCGCGGGTGGGGGCCAGGCGGCGGTCAGGGGTTCTCCAACGTGGTGGTCGTGAAGATGATGATGATGATGATGAAGACCACCAACACGAGGGTTGCCAGCACGGAGCAGATGATGTTTGCCACCCTGGCGCGGGAGCCGTGACGCCGGGCACCCTCCAGGTCCCCCAGCAACTTGCAGTCACGGGCCTGGGGGGGTAAACGGGGGGGCTCAGAGTGGGGGGAACTGGTTGGGGGCCCAATTCCACCCCTGGGGGCGGCTGCGGGGTTGTGCTGGGACCCCAGGGATGTGTCACCAGGGGCAGGGGGGGGAAGCCGCCGGGCACTGCCTGTTCCTCCACCCACCCGGCGGTCACGGCACTGGGGGGTGCAGGGTCGGGGGGTGGCACACAGCACTGGGGTCCCAGGGCGGGGTGGAAGTGGGGGGTTGGAGATGGGAGAGGGGATCTGGGGTCCAGGGCGGGAGATGGAGTCTGGAGACCGGGGTGGTGTCAGGGAGGGCGGGGTCGGGGCGGACAGGACTGGAGGGTCCCGAGGTGAGGGAAAGGTCTGAGTCGGGCTGGGTCGGGGGCTGCCGAGTCGGGGAGGGGGTCGGGACATGTCGGGGGGTCCCTGGCTGGGTTGGGGGGTCCTGAGTCGGGGAGAGGGTCGGAACGTGTCGGGCATCCCGAGCTGGATTGGGTCAGGGCATCCCAAGGCGGGGAGGAGGTCGGGACGTGCCGGGGGTCCTGTGCCGGGCTCAGTCGCGGGGTCCTGGGAGGAGCTGGCTGGGGGTCGCTCTGGATGAGGTGTCCCGGGGCCGATCAGGGCTAGATCCAGGGTGTCGGGTGGGGGTCCCTGGTCGCCCCCCTCACCTTGATGGAGTAGACGAGCGGGGGGAAGCCGAGGCAGCCCAGCCCGGCCACCGCGCACCACAGCACCACGTTGAGCAGCGACCAGAGCACATAGTCCCGGGGCGGCGGGTCTGCCCGGGGACCGGGGGCAGCCGACCCCCAGCCGGAGGACTGCAGTGGGATGGACACGTCCGCCTGTCGGGTCTCCATGGCCGGGAATGAGTTCCTGGAACTGGAATGGAGCGCGCCCAGGGCGGGGGGTTGGCTCCGCACCGCCCCGCGCGGGGGGGGGGGGAAGGGGGACACACGGCCATCCAGGACCCCCACCCCGCGTGGGCTGGGGGTGCAGGGCAGCTCTGGGGGACCGGGGGGGCTTAAGGGGACTCGAGAGGCTCCGAGGGGACCCTGTGGGGCTCCAGGAGACCCTGTGGGGCTCCAGGGGACCCTGGGGGGCTCCAATGGGACTTCAGGACTTTGGGGGGCTTAAAGGTCTTGGGGGCTCTGAAATGACTCTGAGGAGATTTTGGGGACTCCGAGGGGACTTGAGGGGTCTCCAAGGGAGCCTGGGGACTCTGAGGGCACTTGAGGGGATCCAGAGGGGCTTGGGAACTTTGGGGAGGATTCAAAGAGACTTTGGGGACTCCAAGGGAACTCCAGGGGACCTTATGGACTCCAAGAGGACTCAAGGGGACTTTGGGGACTCCAAGGTGATTTGAGGGGACTTTGTGAACCCCAAGGGGATTTGAGGGGACTCTGGGGACTCCGAGTGGTGTCCATAGGACTTTGGGGTTGGAGTGGACAGACTGGAGGGAGCTCTCCATGGCAGCTCAGTGTGGTCACAGGCTGGAAGAAGGTTTTGCTGGTGGCTGGTTTGGACTGGGTAGGGGTCAATTTTTTCCACGTTGGTTTGTATGGGCCTGCACTTTGGATTTGTGCTGGAAGCTATTGATAAAAACAGGGAGCAGGAGGAAGAGGGGATCTCAGAGCAGTGGCCTTCGTTGTCCCAAGTCCCCATTGGATGTGCTGGGAATTGGGCAGGCCAAGGGTGGGGCTAGGCAGGCAGCACATCCCCGTTTGCAGCAAGGAGCCCGTGTTTTCCGGGAAGAAACGGAGCAAAAAAATGATTCACTGGGCTCTCAGTGCCAGGGATCCTGCAACAAATACCCGCTGTGTCTGTGAGTGGGATTTCTGACATCTTACGAATGCAGTGTCCTGCCAGGAACCCAAAGTTCTCGGGGAGAGGGAAAAACAGGGTTTTGTTCCCATCCTTGCGGGGCCCCAACCCCGAGGAGGACCAGGGCCTGCCGAGGGGAGGGCGAGGAGCACGGAGGGGAAGGGGGAAGCCAGGACAGCTGCGTAGCTGAAGCTCTGCCAGGTGGACTCGGGCCAGGATTTTCCGTGGTCGCTCCGGGGCCGGGCAGGGAGCGGCACGTGCGGCGGCCGGAGGCGCGAGGATCGCTGCCCGGATCGCTGCCCGGATCGCTGCCCGCTGCCCTGCCAGCTCTCCCGGTGAGGGAAAGGGACGGCTGGCGCTCCGTGTGGCTTCCACCGAGCACAGCTTCCTTCCCCCCCCCCCACCGCAGGATGTGGCTTCCACCAAGCACGGCTCCCTTCCCCCCCCCTCACCCCCCCCCCGCAGGATGGGGAGAGTGATTGTGAGGAAATTCGTGTGCTGAGGTGAAACAACGAAACCAAAAGCTGTGCACGCCAGCAAGACACATAATTTGTTCCCCCCTCCTCATGGCAGCTGTTCCCAGGACAGCCAGGCTCCTATCTGCGAACTTTACCAGCATCCCAAATCGCCGAGGAATCCAGCCCCGGGAGATGTGCAGCACGGCCACTCGGGATGGAGCCACAGCACCCACCACCCCCTTCCCTCCGGGAGCCTCTCCAGCCCCGCTGTCCTGCACTGTCACATTCCAGCTCATCCCGCTCGTGCCCTTTGCACATCCTGCCTCCCCCAGTCCAGCTAATCCTCAGCTCTGCTTTCTCACAGCCCTCCCTGAGGGCCGGTGAGGGTGAGGGTGACACCCTGGCACAGGTGAGGTTCTCCTCCCGTCCTCGGGGTGACCCTATGGGTGCAGCATCCGCGTTCATGGAGCCGGGTGTGTCCCTGAGCATTGTTTCTGCGATGAGAGACAATTTCCCTCCCCGCCCCCCCAGGCACCTCCAGCTGCCGATGCTGTTTCTTAACCAGCCACGCTGCGGTGGGGGGGGGGACCCTGAACCTCTTCCTGCCGAAATAAAACCGAGCCGGGGCAAAAGTGAAAGAAATCTTTATTCGAACCAGGTTTTCTCCAAACAAGGTGCTTCTCCCGGGGATTGTTTCGGGTCAGCTGGGGCTCCAAACCCAGAGCAAAGCAGCAAGCAGGTCACGGCCATTTTGGGGGTGCTCGGCTGCCACCTGAGGAAGGGTGTCCGTCCCCAGGCACTTCCAGCATCAGCAAGGGCTCAACAACAGCTTTGAGCAGTGAGGAAAGAGGGACAGGACCCCGGCGGGCCCCAGGGGGTACCCCCTGGCGCTGAGGGGTGAGATGGACGGCGATGATGTTGAGCACCAGGGCCGTGATGTTCAGGCACTTGGCCGTGGAGCCGTAGCTCAGGGCCCCGCTGCGGTCACCCAGCACTTTGCGGTCCCTGGCCTGTGGGGAGGCAGAGGGGAGAGTCAGTGGGGTCGGAAGGGGGTGGCCCCGGGGGGCTCAAGGCTGCAGGCAGGTGTGAGAGGTGCTGGAGGTTGCCACCCTGGGCTGAATCCCCCCAAACCACCAGGGGTACTCCAGGACGCTGTGGGGCCAGGGCTCCATAGAAAGGGGGTTCTGTGGGGTCCACGGGTGCTCTGTGGGGCCAGGAGTCCATGGACAGGGGGCTCTGTGGGGTCCACGGGGCACCCTCTGGTCTGGGGCTTGTGGGGTCCACTGGACACCCCCGAACTGAAGCTTTGTGAGGTCAGTGGCTCTCCATGGGGTCAGGCATTCTGTTGGCTCAATGGGGGCTCTGTGGGGGTCCCCGTGCCTTCTCCCAACCCCCAGCCTTCCCTCCTCCCCCCCCGAGTGCCCCACCTTGACGGAGAAGAAGAACGCCAGGAACCCGAGGCAGCAGAAGTTGCCGTACAGGGTGGTGAAGAGGGACCAGACCAGGTGGTCTCGGGGGGGCGGCTGCTCCTCCTCCACCGTCACCGCCGTGGTCGTGGTCGTCCGGGGCAGCTCCTCCATGTTGACCCCCGTGGGCAGCACCTCGTAGGGCGGCAGCGTCTGCTCCATCCCGAGGCTCTTCATGCGCACCGGCGGCAGCGGCACAGGGAAAACGCCGTGGTCGAGGAAGGAGGTGGCACGGGGAGGAGGGGGCGGTCTCGCCGACGGCTGTTTCGTTTCCCCAAGACTGAGGATGGGGCGGGAAAAGGCCGCCCCTCCGGACGTCCCGGTAAGGGCGGGAAAAACCCTGGACCCGTTTTCCTCGTCCCCTCCTTTATCTCTTTTTCTGTACCTGTTTCCTTGTCCCCTTCTTTATGCCTTTCTTTACCCCTTTCCCCTCTCCTTTCTTTGCCCCTTCGTTTGCCCCCCTCTTTCCTTGTCTTCATCTTTACCTGTTCTTTGCCCCCTTTTCACTTTACCCTGTTCTTTCCCTTTTCTTTCTTTGTCCTCTTCCTTTCCCGTCCCTTTCCTTGTCCCCTTTTTTGACCCCTTACCTTGTCCCCTTCCTTTCCCGTCCCTTTCCTTGTCCCCTTTTTTGA